TGAATTTACTCTGACACAGAAAAATCTATATTGATTCTGACACTTCTACATCCAACTCACAGATGTAACCTTGCTTTGATAACAACAATTATTCATATAAACCTTTTAGAAGTGAAGTTATAGTCATTTGTTCTGGGAATGTCATTTTCGATCCTGAAACCTGAAAAACAGGCTCGGGGTTTAACAGGTTAAGGTAAAACATATATGGATTGATGGTCTGTTTTCTTGCAGTGAATGCAAATAAGTATACATATTTACCAGGAAAAAGAAAGTTTTCCCTTTCCTATAGCCAGGATACAGCTTTATAGTTTATTGAGCCTATAAGCCATTTAATATGTTTAAAACAGCTAACAAAGAAACAAGATAATAGTGTATCTGTCACGGTCTGTCTGTGTTGTGTTTTGTCTGTCTCTGGTTTCCTTTATTTTGAAAAGTGTTCACCCCCTGTCTTGTCTATTGATTCCTGTCTCTGTGTTTGCCCTCCTGTGTCTGATTTCCTGATTGTGTTCACCTGGTGCCCCTGTGTTTTCTCCTCCCTCCTCACCTGTGTCTTGTTTGTGTGATTAGTCTTGTGTGTATTTAAGTTCTGGTTTTTCTGTCTGTCATTGTTGGATTGTTGTTTGTCTGTGACTGTGTTCACGGGGTAGTGTTCTATTTGTCACTGTGAAAACCTTGAAATAAAGGTATATTCTGTTTAAATCTGGGTTTGGGTCCTGCCTGCTTCACTCAACCCTGACAGAACAATCCAACCAAGGATGGGCCCAGCAGATCCATTTGAGCTGGAATTACTTAGGGGAGCATCCGGTGTTCAGCAGAGAGAGGCTGCTCTGGCAGAGGCTCACCAGGTTTACCTGGCTGGATTTTGGACTTCCTCTCGGCGTGTGATTCCTGGCCTGCTAGCCCCAGGCGTGCTGGCCCCCCGGTTCCCAGCCTGACACCATACGTCTCGGTGTGTTCCGTCTGGAGTCAACCTCTGCTTCTTCCCCATTTCCTGCTCCTGTCCAGGAGCCGTTCTCGGGTACTCGTCTGGCTTTTGGAGGTCCACGGAGCCTCCAAAATGCTCCAAAAGGAGTCGCAACCCGAGCCCCAGAAGCCATGCTTTGGGCTCCAGTTCTGACCCCAGCAGCCATGGTTCCGGCTCCAGTACTGGCTCCCCGGCCGACGCCAGCCCCCCGTGTTATGTCAGTGGTTCGGCCCACTCCAGCCCCTCGTGTCCTGTCGGTGGTCCGGCCCACTCCAGCTCCCCGTGTCCTGTCGACGTACCGGCCGACTCCAGCATCTCGTCTCCTGTTGGCTCTCCGGCCGACGCCAGCTCCCCGTGTCCTGTCGGCGTACCGACCGACACGAGTTCCCTCTCAAGCCCCCTCTCCGGTCCCCTCTCGAGCCCCCTCTCGAGCCTCCTCTCCAGTCCCCTCTCGAGTCTCCTCTCCAGTCCCCTCTCCAGTCCCTCGTTGGGGGTTCCACCGGATTTCCTGACAACACCTGATCCTGTCCTGTTGGGGGTCCCGCCGACACGTGCTACGCCGAGGGTCCTGCCGACAGCAGCCCTTGCTCCGTCGGGGGTCCCACTGACACCGGCCCATGTTCCGTCCAGGGCCCCGTCTACGCCTGTCCCGCCAGGGGTCCCACCAGCTCCTGCTCTCGATCCCAGTTCTCCGGCGATCCAGCTGTCACTGGAGGGTTCCCATTGCGGTGTACGTCGTCCTCCGGAGCTATTCCGTCACCGCCTTCGTGCCCGTCCTCTGGAGCTGTCCCAGCGGCTTTCGCCCTCGAGCCCGGCCCCCTGACTCTTCCAGACGCTGCCTTCGCCCCTCATGCCTGGCCCCCTGAGTTCGCCCCTTTTTGAACTCTGCCTTGCCCCCGGGCCGTCCGCCCGAGACCCCCTCCTCGAACTCTGCCTTGCCCCCGGGCCGTCCGCCCGAGATTCCCACCATGAACTTTGTAGGGATAATCAATGTAACCACTACTGTGAATGCACCACAGTGAACCTGAGTGTATCATGGAATTATTATGCATGAAGCATATTGTCAGAAGTAATCAGACTTTGCATGCCTGGATGCTATGGTTTACAAATGGTTTACTCCACAGAGAGGTTCTGCAGAAGATGGGGTTGGAGGAGTTGCTCACTCCCACCAAACTGGGACAACCTCAAACGCAAATATAAGGTGAGATATTGTATTTCTAGATGCATACTAGGGGTGTAACGGTACACGTACCCGTACCGAAATTATTCGGTACGGGCCCTTCGGTTCGGTACAGGTGTGTACCGAAGTGTACCGAACGAATATAACGTTAAACGTAAAAAATTGAGAACGTGAATAACTTTTTGGAAGTAATCTCAGGTGCTGCGTCGCAGCATTCAGAGTAATTTGCTCACATTGGATTCAACGCGTCATAGAACGAGTAAGTCATTTCATTGGATGAGAGGCATACTATGAGAGCTGGTCAGAGGGATGTATGTGAAATGTAGTCAGTAATTTGAGGAACTGTCAAAAATTAATGGCGAACGCAGATAAAGTTGAGCTCGAAAATCCTCCAGCATCATTGAAGTCTCCGGTTTGGGAACATTTTGGTTTCACAGTTACGTACAAGGATGACGGACAAAGACAGGTGGACTGAACCAAAGCTGTTTGTCGGCATTGTTCAACTAACATTGGTTACGCGGCTGGCAATACATCAAACTTGCACACTCTTGAAAAGGCATCACCCGAACGTGAATATCACCGGTACCAAAAGAAAAAAGACTGAAGTGCAAACCCAACTCCCGCTAGCATTTAAGCCTCCACCACTCGCAGAAAGATCAGACCGAGCCAAAGCTATTACAAACACCAAATATCCTTATGTTGCCATGTTAGCAAAGCGCTACCTGGCTGTATCTGCTACCTCTGTCCCTAGCGAGAGGGTTTTCTCCACATCAGGAGACATTGTTAGTGCCAGCAGATCTGCCCTTTCGGCAAGCAATGTGGACAGGTTCATCTTTCTTTAAAAAAACATGAAAATACAATGACAAGCAAGTCCTAATGTCAAACTGGCTGCTTAGGTGCTAGTACAGTACAGTTCAAATACAGATTATTTCAGTTCATCGAAATGCTGCACCTTAATGTTTATTTTATTATATTTTGTATTTATTTGAGTGAATACATTATTCACAGTTTAATAATAATAATAAATATATATATATATATATATGTTTTGTTTTGTGAAAAAAAATTCTGCTGTACCGAACACGTACCGAACCGAACCGTGACCAAAAAACCGAGGTACGTACCGAACCGAAATGTTTGTGAACCGTTACACCCCTAATGCATACAATGCAGCTAATTCTATTGTGTCTTCATCTGACTGATACATTCCTTGTTCTCCCTCAGGAGCTGAAAACCCCCCCTACAGGGACGGGGACAGATGCGGGGGAGGCCACGGCAGCCACATGGCCGTGGTTTTCCCTGATGCATGAGGCCATCGGGAGTCGGCCCTCCATGGAGCCTCCAGTCCTGATGGACTCGGCTGACGTGACCCCCAGTGGGATTGGCTCTTCATCCAGTGGAGCTGCGGCCGCTCCTTGTGGCCAGGCAATGGAGGAAGAGGAGGATCCTGGGCAGCCTGGCACAAGTAGCAGCACCACTACACTGGATGAAGAGCCATCCACCTCTCTCAGTCCCCTGACTGCCAAGAAGAGGGCAAGTAGGGGGGCCCTATTAGAGTTTCTAAAAGAGGAGGCCAAACAAGAGCAGGAACGCTTTCAGGCTAACACCCAAAAGTATTTGGATTTATTTGAGAAATTGATTAATAAATGATTTTGTTTCCAAGGTTTTGAAACGTTGTTATTGTTCCATTGAGATATACTTTGTTTGTCAAAACATTGTTCCTTTATTTGTAAAATTATAAACATCACAACCAGGCTTGGAATTTCGTCATTTTAGGGGCAAGGCCATTTGGCCTTTGGTGTCACACATTTTTTCAGGGCGCAAAGGCCATTGAGGGAAACATTTGGATTTGGAGCTTACAAATAAATAACTTCACTTTCTATAAGAAAAACACAGGAATGACATGGAAAACAAATCACTTTTTTAATATCAATAATGTCAAACATTATATCATATAGGCCTATGCCTCCTTAGTATTACCTTATATAAAATAAAATACTCTACTTTGAATAATTAGTGTTTGATATGCTTTCCATCTACTACTTCTCCCATTCACAAATCAAATAAAAAAATCTAAGATTTGTTAGAGATTTAAAGGGATATCTGATCCGCTTTTCAAATCTCCGCGCGTTCCTATGAAGCTGGTTATAATACAGGAAGAAATCCAGTGCCACCAAGTAAACAATATCTACTTTAATGGTAATATGACAAAATAATACAATCAATACAGTACAAATTCAATACAGTTAATCTTTGGGATCCCGAATTTACCTGCACGTGAGCCAGCCAGAGGAAAGAGGCTGAACACCGCCTGTGTTTCTGTGTTTCTACTCTGTGACAATGGGAGGAGTTATCAGATCCTCCCATTCGGACATCATTGATTGGCCGCCCCAAATATCACAGACACCTTAGACCTTAGGCTTCCCCAATCACTGTAGCTAGATCTAAACTGAATGCAACTCAAGACATGCTCTCACCTTCCCCCATCTTCCTTTGTCCTCAAAAACATATGTCAAACAGGCCCCACATCCAGCTCACAGTTCCACCCAAATTATTCCCTTTTTAAGCTTATCCATAGTTTGCTAACATGAATAAATACAAATATAACTCTACAAATCCCCCTTTTGGTCTCATTTTAAGAGATCAACTATTTCAAGACACTCACATTATAACCTGGGATTCAGACTATTTAAACATTCAGGAATGGCTCCACATATCAACTTCATATGACCGTGTAGAAATACCAAAATATATCCTCAGTGTTTAGACAAATCGTCCATCAATAGCACAAAAATAAACATACCAAAAAATATATAGAAGAAAATAGTAAAATATATGTTTCCAAATAACCTCTTTTATTATTTATCATTTAGTCCTCCTTAATCATCAAATTACAAACTTTAAAAATAGCTTGCATCTCAAAGATTTGCTTCAAGACAATTATAGTAAAAACACATTTAACATTTAGGATTATTAGCAATCCACCTGAGGTATAAAATCTGGATTGTAAAGGTCCAGTTGAAATTCACAGTTCAAAGTATAGCATTCACAGTGGTGATTCGATTAATCCGTAATCTGCAAAATTGCAGTGTCCTCAAGCTTTAACATTACTTCACTACGCTTTAGTCAAAAGTAAGGCACTTATCTATACATTCATTTTAGTCAAATACATTGTTTAAAAATCTGAAAAAGAAGAATCAGACATTTATTGCGTAGTGTAAAAACCCGAAAAGGTAAAATCTATATACATCTTCTACATTCTGAGTGTCAATTTTAATCAACTTGTCATTCATTTTGTGGGGGTCCCCATGGAGCAGAAGCCGTGATTGTGCCCCACGGATCTGAAAGCTGGGCGTCGTACATCAACACGGAGTCATCCACTGTGGAATATCCCACTAGTCTCTGTGGAGCCTGGAGGGCGGTTTTGGTCATCTTTCGTATGGCTAGTTTAACTACAGTGACCAAGCAGATCATCACAATTAGCACAACTAAGATAAACATTGAAACGGTCACTGCAAATTTAACCAACCCCGCACCCCACGATCCAAAAGTTCCAGTTAAATCCCCAAGGGTAAACCCATGAGTTTCATGCAACTCTTTTATCCCCCTGACGGTATCATGAGCCATATCCATGACCTCAGGTGTAGCATCAGAGATGAAAGAACAACACTCAGATCCAATCACCTTGCATGTGCCCCCCTGGGCGGCTAATAAAAGATCCAGTGCCATACGATTTTGTAATGCTACAGTCCTAACCTCCTGTAATTCCTTATGTTCGGCTAACATGGCTGTGTTAGATGCATTTAAGTGATTTTCCACTACTTTGGACAACGCCACAATTTCCTGCTGAGAAACATAAATACCGTACCATGGTAAAAATAGACTAGCCATCCGCTGTCCTTCTGTAATCGACCTGCTGTTTCTATGTAGAGAGGGAAGTATAGCTGCAATCTCATCAGTCTTCACTTTACGGATTAAAGGGATTAGATAGGCCAGGTAACAGGTGCCATAGAAAATGTCATAAGGCATACAGCCATAGGCTCGGTCCCCACAAACTAAGTAAACCCTCTGCGGGAGGGGCGTTCTGGCTAACTGCACCTTTATTACGGTATTACAGTCGCTGTGGCCCACATCTGGAGAGGTAAGAGATCCTCTTTCATACTGGAAACAGATGGACACATTCTTCCACTCATGTACTACAACTGGGGGAACATAGACAGAACAGTCACGGGTAGGGGACTTACCTAAGGGTAATGGCTGCGAACAGTCATGTATTTTAACCTCAACCGAGTCCACTGTTCTGGAGCCGAACCAGGGCACTACTGTTACCAAAGCCTCAACTAATAAAGATGGAGTGTGTGGTTGCAGTGTACATATTGGACTGGTAAAGTTAACCGAGCAATTAGTCTGGGCTAGAGCTAATTGGAATCTGTATTCAAAAGCTAGGTTAATATATTTCTTCACATATATTAGTCTTAGGACCGTCAACTGTTTGAACCCCTCTGGCAGGTAATCCTTATTTACTGTCTCAACAATGAGCGAGATTAAACCCTTGTATTGTAGAGGTTTCTCAGAGTTTATTGGATACGAAGGAGTGTAACAATCCTCGGCCTCATCTCCAATGCGGGATGCTATGTCATTCCAGCTAACTAAACCGTAGTCCGCTTTCGTGAAAGGAATTGGGCTAAACATGGGAGAATGTACGGATTCTGGCATGTTTTGGCACAGCCAACAGTTGCTAACATTGCGTTCATGTGCATAGTCTAACATTAAACTCATTGCCGAATTGGTTTTAGTTAGTTTAGGTGGAGCGATTAAGGCCTTTTTTGAAGAATCTACATCCTCTCCTGTTTGTTTAAGTGGAGCGATTAAGGCCTTTTTTGAAGAATCTACATCCTCTCCTGTTTGTTTAAGTGGAGTGGATATTAGGGCTTTTTCCGGAGAACCTGTTTCATGATATGGTTCAATATATGTTCTAATAGAGGCGTGTCCGGCGACCCCTAAATTAGAAAAATCTGTTTCATGCTCTGGTTCAATAAATGCACATCCAGTGACCCCCGAATTGGGAGCTTTGTAATCTGGCTTCCGTGCCGTTCACTGGGACTCATATTTTAACTGTTCTGCCGTGCTACACCACAGTTCTGGGGGCATATTTGCAATGGTGTTGAGTGTTATTCTTACCATCCCTGACGAGACCCGGAACTCCTGATACTGCGTCCCTGGATACGCTTCCCACACCGTGTAGTCGCCACCCTTGCTTAAAAACACAGGGTACGTAATAACACAGTTTGGTGAGTTACATATTGCAGTTGGGCAGTCAAAAGAAATCTTCTGTGGTTCGTGAGCAGAGAGAGGGGCATTCCTCCTTCTTCTCTCTCTGTGTCTCTCTCTCATTGTACTGAATGTTAGTGTGGTGATTGGAAACAACCTGTCTTTGTCGCTAGGCACTGATTGGCCCGTTGGTGTGATTTTGCCCTCAGAGTCTGGGCCACCTGTCGTTGGAATGGTCACAGCTTCATCAAGCGGGGCTACCTTGGACAGGTACAGCAGGCCCAGCACGAGGAGGATGATGACAGCTTTCACACGCCAGCCTCCGGTGGAGGAGACAGACGCCATCTGGAAGCGTTGATCCACCCCGCTCTGCCTCGTTCCCTCAGGACCGTTCCTCGCCGTCCTCTTCAGCCCGCCCGCTTATGGCGACTTCTGGGTCGGAGATAGGAGTGTTGTCCTCTGGTTCCTCCTCCTCTGCGCGGACCACGTCCGTGATGATGTCGTCTAGGGTCCTTCCCGGAGGTTTCCCCACTGCGCACTGATTCCAGTGGTACCAGATGTCTCCTTTCCCTTCCAAGCGGACAGCGTGAGATGTCCTCTGCATCACCCGATGGGGTCCAGAGAACCTGGGTCTCAGCCACTTGGGTCTGATCGCTTTCAGCCAGACGAACTCCGCAGTGTTCGCTTCGTGTTTCTCGGGTCCCCCTTTTGCCTCTGCAACCTGGGTGGAAAAATCTGCCACTAATCCCTTAAGTTGCTGGAAGTATGGTTTCGAACTCAGAACCTCTACTTCCTTTCCTACACTTAGGGCTCCTGGACCTGGGAACTGGTGACCATAAGTGAGCTCAAATGGAGAGAAACCTGTCCCTTTGTTAATGGAGCTCCTGATTGACAGAAGAGCCAGAGGCAATGTGTCTACCCATTTCATGCCCGTCTCTTCACATGCTTTGCTGAGTTTTTGTTTTAAGTTCTGGTTCATCCTTTCCACTTTTCCCTGAGACTGTGGATGATAAACTGCTCCAAAACTGTGTCTTAGTCCTAGGGACTACTGTGTACTGTGCGTAGGTCATGGTTCTTGAAATGGCTGCCATTGTCTGACCTCACTTTCCTAGGAAATCCATGTAATGGAATGTAATGCGTGACTAGGAATTTGATCACTGAGTCTGCATCTTCTCTTCTGCAAGGGATAGCTTCTGGCCAACCTGTGTATCCATCTACTACTACTAACAAATATCTGAATCCTCTTACTTTGTCAATCATGTCAGTGTAGTCAATGATGATTTCTTCTCCTGCCATCTTAGGTAAAGGAAACTTTCCCTGGTGTGGTTTCACAGTGGCTCTGATGTTATGGGTTAAGCAAATTACACACTCTTCTAGGTGATTTGCTATCATGTCTGGTAGGTATGGGTGCCACCAGTGGGTCAGGTGCCTGTTCATCTGAGTTTTACCACAATGCGTTGGGCCGTGTGCTTCTTTAAGCATGGATCTTATCCACTCTGGGGGTATAACCGGTCTCCCATCTGGGGAGTACCATATCCCCTCTTTGTTGGTAGCTCCCCGGTTTGACCATAGTTTTTTGTCTTGAGGAGACCCCGCTTCTTGAGCTTCTTTAAGCGTCTCATCGGTTATTGCGGGCAGCAAGTCAGCGGATTTTAAGACAAGCATTTGATACCATGGTGTATATCCTGCCTTCTCTTTAGCTGCTTTGTCCGCTGCATTGTTACCCCAAGCCAAGTAGTTGTTTTCTGCGTTGTGACCTTTACACTTAAGTAAAGCTAACTTGTTGGGCAACATTACTGCTTCTGCAAGCTTTCTGATCTCTTTCTCATGTTTGATGGGGGTATTTGTGGACGTTACAAATCCTGCTCTCAACCATTGTCGCATTTCCACGTGAATTACGCCGTGGACATATGCTGAATCAGTGTAGATGTTTACATCCTTTCCTTTTGATAGCTCTAATGCTGCAATGACTCCCATTACTTCTGCCAACTGTGCTGATACTTTCCCTGTTACTTCCCCAGCTGATACTTCCTCAAAGTTTCCCTCAGGTTTTTGTTTTACCACGGCATAGGCTGCTTGGAGGCCGTTTTGGGGGTGTCTAAAACAACAGCCGTCTGTGAACAGGTTTTCTGCCTGTGGGATGGGCTCGTCTCTGAGATCTATTCTTAGCTTCACATCTTGAATGATTCTTTCCTCACACCTATGGGGCTCTCCGCTACCTATGGTGTCTGCGCTGTTAACTCCTTCGTGTGTGTATGTGATGTGTGCCTTTGTCAGAGTTTTCTCCAGCCTTGTTTGTCTCGTTGAAGTCATTGTGAATGCACTTGAGTTCACAAAAGAGACAATGCTGTGTGTTGTCAGTACTGTCAAAGGATGGCCCATCACAATGTGTGAAATCTTGTTTAAGATACGTGCTGTACCTGCCGCGTGTCTCATGCAGGGAGGTTCTCTGTTTTCCACTCTGTCCAGTGTAACACTGACATACATCAATATTGTCCTACAACCCCCCTTTTTCTGAAAAAGAATCCCATTTACTGTGTCTTCATTTTCAGAAACATCAAGAAAGAATGGTAATGCATAGGATGTAGCGGCGAGAGCCGTGACTTGGGACATGGATTGTTTGAGAGAAATGAACGCAGCTTCTGCCGCTTGTGTCCAGTCTAGTGTGGCAGTGAGATTGCGCATGCCTTTCTCGTTGATGAGTTTTCTGAGTTCAGCTGTTCTTGGGTTATACTCTGGGATGTAGTGTCTGCTGTAGCCTGTGAGGCCCAAAAAAGACAACATGTCTTTGACTGTCTTGGGTTTCGGGTGGTTCAAAATGTGTTCCTGATGCGCTGCTGACATGCCCGTGCCTGCTGGGGAAATCACTCTGCCCAAAAATGTCACCTCTTTACGGGTGCATTGTAGCTTTTTCTTGGAGACTTTGAACCCTGATGTGTGGAGGCGCACCAGTAGGTGTCTGGTGGCCTCCAAACAAGAGGCTGCAGAAGGTGCTGCGATGAGAAGGTCGTCTACATACTGTATTAATACTACTCCCACTGGCAATGTAACGCCCTCTAGCTGTTCCCTGAGCACTTTGTTGAATATTCCTGGAGACAAACTGAAGCCTTGTGGTAGTCTTGTGTATTGTAGTTTCTCCCCTCCTATTGTAAAAGAAAAAATAGGTCTCATACTCTCTGCCAGAGGTATGCAGAAGAAAGCGTTGGCTAGGTCAATACAGGTGAACCATGTATGTTCAGGTGAGACATTACAGATAGCCGTGTAGGGGTTAGGAACTGGTATCAGAGCTGTAGTCGTAATAGCATTAATGGTTCTCAAATCATGAGCCATTCTGTACTCCCCGCTAGATTTTGATACAGGAAGTATGGGAGTATTCCAAAGGCTTTGTGAGGGTTCTAACACCCCTGCTTTCTTCAGTCCCTCAACTGCCTTGTCAACACCCCCTTTTGCCTGTGGCTTGATCGGGTATTGTGACCGGCTCACAGGCACAGAGCTGCTCACCTCAAATGTTACTGGTGTGGCTTTTAAGCAGAAACCTACATCATGAGAGTGCGACGCCCACAGGTTAGACGGGAGATCACGCAACATGTCAACTGTATATGCATGGTCAGTTTTTTCCCTACCATGATGTCTATCTACTTCGTGTCTTTCCATGTGGATGCATTCTTGTGTGTAGATTTTAAGACGATACGCTCTGTGTGAGGGAGAGTATGTCAGTGCTGCGATCTGCGTAGGTTCCCAATCTTCGACTTCTAGCAGCGTCTTTACCATGGGACCAAGTTCTTTAGCTTCATAACTCTTTTTGATAGCTAATGTAATGTGCGGTGTGGACTCAGCAGACAAACGGTACCAGTACAGTTGTTCATCAGAGAGCTCAACCGACGCAGCCACACCCGCCTGTCCCACAAAGAGATTTGTCGTGGTAACGTCCCACACGGCCATAGACACCTCATTATCATACTCATATTCATAACTTAGGTCGTCTTTTCTATCATAATTCAGCGTCAGGTGGGGGGGGGTCTGGAGGGGGGCCATAAGGCCTGAGGAGGTTAATCCATGGCTTCCATTGTTGAAAAATGGAATACAGTCCAGGTGTGTTGTCCCGAGGTCGGTCCAACAGTCCCCAGAATATAGTGGCATGTTGGGTTGCTTCTGCCTCAGTGGACTGGGCCAACATCATCTGAGAACCTGATGTTATGGTAGAAGACGAACAATTGATGGTTGTGCCATTTGGGAATGATATTATCAGTCCATCCGGGGAACAGAGGATGGAGGCATTCGCTTTGATCAGAATATCCCTACCCATGAGGTTAGCCGGGCTTTTTGGTGCAAGAATATACTGGTGTAAGAATGTCTGTCCTGCTATCTTGGTGGATAACAGCGTGGAAAGCGGTATTATTTCTATTTTTCCCGAAAACCCTATGACTGAGACTGTTGTAGATGTTTTGGACGCCTTGAAGACGGGAGAATTGATGGTGGAATATCTTGCTCCTGAATCAACAAGGAATGGTAGGTTTGAGTCTTTAACAGTCATATTAATGTATGGATCCGCCAGGCCCGTACATCCAGGGTTCCCTGGGCGTCTTCATTCTTCGTAGTATTCCCCCTCATATAGGACAAACTGGCCATAGGGGGCGGCCATAGCATTAGGGGCAATGTGACCCTGGTTCGGTTGTTGCGGCAATGGGACAGCCTCCTGGGGTGTCTGGATATATGGTTTCTCCGATCCGTTCCCCCCTTTAGCCCGCCCCCTTCCAGGTGGGGCTCCATGTGGGCACTGCTTGAACCAGTGATCTGGCTGTCCGCAAATGAAACACACCTTCACGTATTCCAATCTAGGAGTCATCCCAAAGCCACCTCGACC